TCTTCTCGCTCGACATTTGTAAAACTGCTTCGTGGCTTCGTCTTTAGAGATTTGATTTAATGATGACATTACTGAGCTGGAAAAGGTCAATTTCAGCATGTAATAATGATCTTAATCTTTGTCAAGAGCAACTTTCAGCATGTGGATGGGTTAATTAAAGGGGAATGAACCCCTTATTTTTATTAGTGAAAAATTAAAACATGATTAGTTAAAATTTATAACCCAATATTTATATTCTTAGAGAATTATTATTAGAATTTTGTAATAAAGGAAACTAAGGGAAGACTAAATAATTCGGGAAAAAAACATTCTTAATTTTGAATTCATGATTGTGAGAAATGAAAAACAAGATTTATGCTAAATAAATTTCTGATAAAAACAAATCTAATTCTGAATGCTTCAGGCTATTTTCTGATAAATAATAATTTTACAAATAATGGTGATTTAATTTAAGATTTGGCAATTAAATTTATTTAGGATATATAGGTATTACAGTACATATATTATAGAAAATCTTGCTGCAAAGTTAAATTAAAAGTTAAGATTTTGCATATAACTTTTTTGGAACAATTTTCTATTTTCAATTCATAATAGTATTATTTTATGACAGTTGAGCTGATTAATTGAAATTATTTTACACACATCAAAGTTAGTGAAATAAATAATGAGGAATAAAAAATTGATAAATTTAAGAAATTATTCAACATTTTATAATAAAATTATTATTTTGTGTATAACTTTTAGTCTAGTTTTTGCAATCTTAAAAATAAATTTAAAAAATCTACTTTGAAAAGCAGATTACTTGACGTTAAATAATATTGACAGAAACAATATCAAAGAGGTCATGTGACTCGAATAATCAGCTTGGCCGTGCTGAACGATCACCGTGAAAGATGCCGGAGCAATTTTTGCGGCGCTTTATCTGCACGTCCTTGACTCACGAGGCTATTTCTCTTGCTTGTCACGGGCAAATTGCCGCCCAAATTTATGAATTTATGCAGCATTAAGTTATAAAACTGGCTCGATTTGTGCGTCAGAGAGGCATCGAGCGGCCGCCGGGGGTGCCAATTAATTATGACCGGGCAGACCTTGATGAGCGTGTTAATTTGAATACTCATGTGCTTTACTTGCGTGAGGAATGTTGTTTTGACTTGGCCTGTTTTTATAATAAACTCCTCCACCGGCAAACACCCGGAATTATTCTGCCGGCGGCTAGACGCATTCTCAATGGACGCTGTCATTAATAATTTGTGCATGCAGAGAGCCCAACAAAATGTAGCTCGCAGAATCGCACGACCTTGTCAACTATTTTTGCAGCCTGCGAATTACTTCTTCTAATTCTCCGCGTCGGCTTTGAACTTGGCAGCTATTTTTACTTCCTGCACTAAAATATCTTCTATATAATTATTTTTTATACAAATTCCAGTTTAAATATTACGAATATTTATAAAAAATTATAATCCAAGTTTTTTTTTATTATTCAATTGATATCTTAAAAAAGTGTCACTGCAGTAAATGCAAATCCAGCCGTGGTCGGAGGTTTCAAAGTTAGTGTTTGTGTTCAGCGGAAAATTTAGTTATGCACTGTTTTTAGATAAGTATCTTCAAATATCTTCAATAAAATTGGCTCACTAAACTGAACATTGGAAGTTACTTCAGTAATAATGAACTAAATAATTCATTATTAATATAATTATTAAAAGTTGTAATAAAAAATCAATTCTTGAAAGCAGATTTTTGAAATATAATTGCAATGTAAGAATAAATTTATTTATTAAATTATTTGATTGATCAATTGACAAACTAAAAATATAATTAAGATTATATTTAATGTTGCAATTCTTTTAGTAAGAAAAATTTCAATTTTCAATAAGATTTAAAATATTTTCCTTTTATCTTTTTGCGTCAGCTTACAGTCAATTTAAATTTTGAAATCGTGGCTCTCATATGTCATGATTGTCGCGAAAACAAAACAATACCGGCTCGCATGGTCAGCTCTCGAGACAGGGACAAAGAGGAAAGGTACTCACCGGCAATCCGCAGGACGGCCCTGTCCGCAGGGTCCAGCTGCAGGATGCTGAGGGGCTTGTCCTTGGCCCACTCCTGAAGACTCTTGTCGAAGGTGAACTCCATGACCGGTCTGGTGTTATCGATCAACTTTGTCAACTCTCTCGTGTCGTTTATCCCGTCATCGCGGAGTCACTCGGCGGCACTGCGGCACCATCGCGCGGACACCACCGGACAGTCGAGATATTTGAATTGTTTCGGCTCGGGTCGTCGTTGTGATCAAATTGTCGTGTCGTCGGTCGCGAACCAACGAAAAAGGGCCGGTGTTGCAAAGTGCGGCCGGCAGCAGCTGAATCACTCACACAAAAGTGCGGCTGCGGCGACGGGATGATGCAGCTCGGCAGCAAAAGCAGCGTGCGTCGCGACTCCCCCTTCCCTCTCGCGGCCGCGACCAGCTGACTTGCTCCAGTTCGAGGCCGCTAGGAGCAGCACCGCCCGAACCACAGCCGCGGGGCACGTTTTTTGCAATATATAAATCGGCGGCGCCCACGCGTCTCTCACCTCGCCTCTGCCTCAGGGCACCTGGGTCACCCTGAAATTTAATGTGAATGAGTTATGCAAATTAATTTAATCTTTTAGTCAGAAAAAATACTACAGCATGCAAAAAAAGCAAATTAAGTAAATAAATATATATTTTATTAGAATAATTCTGGTTTTTAATTGAAAAATAACTATTTTTTCTTCTTGTAGGGGAAAAATTTAAAATAAATTATAATAATTACAGGACCATCCAAGAAATGTTTGTATTTGTCTTTTTTAATTTAAAACTATAGCTTCAGTATAATACATTTATTTAAAAAAAAATTTTAACTAAGTATGTAAAAAATATATTTTTTATTAACTTTTATTTTTCAACAAAATTTTTTTAATATTAAATCAAATTTAATTATTTTGTTAACTTTTAAATTATCTTAAACTTTTTAAACTGAAAACGATTATTTTAGAATTTTAATATTGGAAAAAGAAGTGAAAACAAATATAATATAGCTTAAATTATTACCTTTTCCTTATGTTTCCTGGCTTCAATGCGGGACGGCAGGAAAAAAATCACTGTTTAAGCGTGACTTTTCACTGACACCCTCTTGCTATTGCTATAAAAGCTATGCCGACTCGCAATAAAGGCTTATTTTGGTGACCACCGTTTGTTTGCTTCTCATCAGCAGTAATTTGCTTCTTCATAAGCCATCATTATTTGTCTCGGTGGCAGCCGCAGTCAGCACAATACAATCTTCTCATAATTCTGTTGTCAGTTCTCGGCGCCGCGCTGCCTCATCCGTCGGAAGACCTTCGCTTTCTGAGCAGCAAATAACGAAATCATGACATGCAAATATGAGGATGATTATAATAAAAGGCCTGTGCGTTTCATTCTGGCCGGCGATGGTGATGGCCACTACTTCCTCTCTCCCCTACGGTACGTGTGTTTTGTTTTTTGTCTTCTGATCTCGCTCCTCCACCTACGCCTGCAGCAGCTGCTCCTATGCTGGTGGTCGATTTTTCCTCAAAATCCAGCTGCACCCGCCTCACTAGGGGCGACGGCCCAGTTCGGGGGTATATTCGATTCGGCGGCCGCGACTTAATTGATGCTGAAAGAAAACTTAACTACTGCTGACCGCGACGAGAGCGACACAAACTCGGCAAGGCGCAAACGCGCGCCCTTGCTGATTGCAGTCGGTGTGTGTGGCATGGCACACTATACACCCTGCGCTCATGACGTGCCCTCATCGATCGATGGATGGGGTGGGTGTTATTGCAGGGAAGTCCGCAACTCGCTTGTTGGCCGTGCGCTGCACTTTGCTGCATTTATGCATACAAAGTGCACTTTTCAGCGCGTGCTGCTGCACCACCCCCTATGCGAGGTTTCATTTTATGATCAGATAAGAAGGGGGCACAAGGGGTAGCACTTATTGAGATGAGGGAGGTCTGAGGGTGGAAATTATAAATTGTATTACAAAATAGTTTAGAAAACTTTTGTTAAACGCAGCAAATTGCAGTTTATGGAAATTTCAAAAATTTTAAAATAAAAAATAAAGATTGACAGGGCAAAAATATAGCAATGGGAAGCTGAAAAAAAATGATAATAAATAATAATGAAGTTCGTCAAATTTTATTGAATTCACCCTAGCTGATTATTTTTGTTGAATTGCCGTTCAAAATTTGTAAAATGTCATTTTGCAATTTTATCTTTGATTTGACGAATAAGTTGTACTATTAAATTCTATGCGTCAATATAATACCAATATGTTTAAGAGATTAATAAAAGTAATAAGCAATATAATATATTTCATTTTCAGTCTTATTGTAAGCAAGCAAATTGCTTAGCAAAAGATAATGCATCCTGCTATACACATATGTGCAACATGTTGTCGGATATTCAGGGGCCAGTAAATATTGAGTTGAGCCGTGAGCGTTGAGTTCTTTAAGAAAAAAGGTAAAAAAGATTCCTTACAAAATTTTGGAGCATGGTACAAGAAATAAATTATTTTACTTGATTAATTAAAATGATTAAAACTATGTAATATATAAATTGTCACTTTTTTCATGTCAAATTATTTTATTTAATCCTTATATTCCTTATTCACCAGAGAGTTCTTTTTTCACCTGAATCCTTCCTTACATAATTATTGTCAATGAAAAATAATAAATTAAAAAAAATAAACAATTATTTTTTCACAATATATTATCTTATCAGATCACGGCCGGGAAAAAAGTAAAGTTGCAATAAAGCTGCAGATCGCAGATCACATCGATTCATGATTCACTGAATGTATGATGAATAATATTGATGATTATAGATTATAGAGAATGCTCTATCGGGCTCTATTTTATGGTACTTTTCTGATTCTTCATCTATTTCATCTTCTCGGGTGTGCGCTGCAACCTCGATGAACGCGCTCTTACTCTTCAAAATTGTAACTCCGCCCCCCTACCGGGTACCGGCACTACCGGCTACTCAGCTCAAGGTGCTGATTTTATGATGTAATCAAAACAAATATTTTGTTTCTTCTAATGTGTTTCCAAAACATTTTAAAATTGATATTGAAAAGATACTTCAGGATAACAATTCAATCGTAATGGCCATCAGCAGCGTTGTTTTGAGTAAGCATTTCATTTAACTGAAAAACTAATTTTTTTTTGTAATATTTTTGTGTTTACATTTGTACATAAAATCTGTAATTATTTTTATTTGTAGGTCGATCATTCTTTGTTCGTCATGGCAGAAGATTTTTGTGTTCGGCAGCTAGCAAGGCTGCTGCTATAACATTGGAAGGGGCCGATGAGTGCCTTGAAAGTCCAAAATTTGATGCTAAATATCGCAGAAAAAAGGTGACAAAAAATTGACGAGAAAAAAATGTACTTAATTGAAATTCAATTTGTTTTCAGGTTGCACTTCTGATGGGGTACAGCGGAGAAGGTTTCCATGGGATGCAACGGAACATGGATATGCGCACCATCGAAGGAGAATTCTTCAAAGCCCTTCATAAGGCTGACCTGGCTCGAGAGGAAGAGTGCAACGAGCCTTGGAAAATTAAGTTCCAGCGGGCATCTCGGACGGACAAAAATGTGTCTGCGGCCAAACAAGTTGTCTCGCTCTCTCTTTGTATTGCATTTTTACAATAAGTTGAACAAATCTAGATTAAACGCTAATTTATTATTTCAGGCACTGATCCCGGAGAAGTTTTAGCACAGCTGAACACTCACCTACCTCCAGAGATTCGTATTTTTGGACTCCGTAGAGCAACCAACACTTTTGATTCCCAAAAAAATTGTGATGCCCGTACTTACAGCTACACATTTCCCTCTTTTGCCCTGAGTCCTGTTGGTTGCGAGGACGAATCATTTCGAGTAACGCCAGAAATGCTCGACAAATTTTCCAAAACTCTAAAACTCTATAAAGGGTTTCATAACTTCCACAACTTTACTTGTGATAAGTTTGTTATATGTCTATGTATTTAATGTTTAGTCATTTAAAAAAAACTTTAAAATTTTAGACACTTTGTAGACCCGAGCAGCAATAGGTTCATAATATCATTTGAGTGTTTTGAACCTTTTGGGGCAGACGGAATGGAATTTATTGAATGCCAGGTCAAAGGAAATAGTTTCATGATGCATCAAATTAGAAGAATGGTAAATATTGTTTTAGTTGTTTCATCTTATTCACTTATGTATTTTCTTTTTACAATCTGCAGGTTGCTGTCGCCATATCTGTAGTCAAAGGAATGGTTGAACCAGAAATAATCAACAAAGCTTATACTGAATTGAGGTTAAATCTACCGATGGCTCCAGGGCTGGGCTTAATTTTGCAGGAGGTAGCTTTTTAAATTGCTTTAAATAATGTTGGAACCATTATAATGTTGCAATTTGATTAGGTCCATTATGATAAATATAACAAGACGGTAAAAAAGTTGGGCTTTCATGAACCCCTAACTTGGGAAGCTGAGGAAGAAGCTGTGGCAAAGTTCAAAAAGGATTTTATTTTGCCAACCATAATAGACGGAGAGAAGAATGGAAAATCGTAATATTAATTTTTTATGGTTTTTTGGTGGCATAATTTTTTATTTTAATTTTGTTCTCAGAATGTTGAACTGGATTACGACGTTGGCGATGCACACTTTTGAAGAGAAAGTTAACTTCGAACCAGAAAAAAGTAATCAATCTTAAGTGACATAATGGAGTATTATAAAAGTTTGAACTTGCGAAATTAAAAAATTAATTATTTTTAAAAGGAATCCTTGTAATTAATCCGTACTAATGTTCAGAAAAATTGATTCTATATTTAAAATTTTTAAGCTTGAAGATGTTGTGATGTAAAAAAACATAAGATCAGAGAAGATATTAAGCAATATCTAGGATTTAATTAAAATTATCTTAATTTATTAGATTTTAAAAAGTGTTAAGTGCATTCTCTGATGCTCATGCACAAGTATTTAATTTTAGCATGGAATTTAGGACTCATATTTTTTTATCTCATTATATATGTGCAGACACGAGACACGAGAGTTATAACAAAATAATAAATAAGATAAAAACTATTAAGCTGTGAGGATGGGAGAGCAAGAAAACCACACTCTAACCTCAACGCAAACGCGCCTACTTTTAAGAGTACCGCGCCCCTTTTCCCTCTGGTGTGCAAATTTTGAAATTTCAAGAAAAACAAATCCGGCGTGGGTGCTTTGTTGCTTTCCGGCTTTTATAACTGTGATCAGATCAGAAGTCAGAATACTTTTAAAATAATAAGGTGAGATGAATCACTCCACTTTTTATCCTTTTATTAAGTAATGAACGTTTAAAATTTTTCACGCATTCCGCATTCATACATATATTTTCGCAACTTGTGATGATCTTGCTATGTAATAATAATTTGCATCCATCCATAAGGTCTCTTTGGTCAGCTTTCGATCAAAGCTTTTCATCCACGCCAGACGTCAAATGGAGACCGCCTCAGTAAAGAGGCCTTTAGAGGAGGCTGAGGAGGAAGCCAAGAGACCAAGGGTTGAAGCCCGAGTTCGCAGAAAAAAGGTAAAAACTTACCAGCAGCGCATGAGATTAAGTTTAATAACTTTTCATCTCAGGTGGCTCTTTTGATGGGATACAGTGGCCAGGGCTACTTTGGTATGCAGAGGAACCACCAAATGCGCACCATTGAGGAGCAGCTCTTCAAAGCCCTTCTGAAGGCTGACTTTGCTTCCGCTGAGGAATGCGAGAACCCGCAAAGTATGTTTTTCCAAAGGGCTGCCAGGACCGACAAGAATGTGTCTGCTGCTAAGCAAATCGTGTCCCTAAAATTGTGTAAGCTTCTTTTTCAAATTAATGTACAAAATATTTTATGATAATTTCTTTTGCCAAAGGTACCGACCCTGGAGTGATAGACACGTTAAATTCGCACCTGCCCCCGGAAATACGCACGTTTGGGCTGCGTAGAGTGACCAAGAACTTCAACTCCAAAGGGAATTGTGATGCCCGCACGTACAGCTACACATTTCCGACTTTTGCCTTGAGTCCTGTTGGGCAGGAGAACGAGTCTTATCGGGCAACGCCAGAGTTGCTTGAGAAATTCGCACAGACTTTAAAGCTCTACGAAGGCACTAAAAACTTTCACAACTTTACATGCCGAAAGTAAATTTCTATTATAATGTTTGAAAAGCCAATCCTTGAGATTCATTTAAAATTTTTCCAGAGAGTTTGTCGATCCGAGCAGTAAACGCTATATAATAAGCTTCGAATGTTTGGAGCCTTTTGAGGAGGAAGGCATTGAGTTCATTGAATGCCGCGTCAAAGGACAGAGTTTTATGATGCATCAAATACGAAAAATGGTTAGATTGGTTTAGTTTGAGAATTTTAAGATTATAAATTAATACATGCTAACATTTTACCAGGTTGCTTTGGCAATAGCGGTTGTGAAAGGAATCGTTGAGCCGGAAATAATCGACAAAGCCTATGGTGCTTTACGGCTAGATCTTCCGATGGCACCAGGACTTGGCTTAGTTTTGCAAGAGGTTTGTTCTCATTAATAATCTTATTAAGTTTTACAACTCAACTTCAATAGGTTCATTATGACAGATATAATAAGAAGTTTGGCAAGGATGGTGTGCATGATCCGCTTGTCTGGGAAGCAGAAGAAGCAGCAGTGATGAAGTTCCAAAAGGACTACATTCTGCCGACAATAATTGACGGAGAGAAAAACGGGAAATCGTAAAAACTTGATTTTCTTGTTAGTGTGACATTCTAAAAACTTTTTGTTTAACAGCATGTTGAACTGGATAGTGACGTTGCCGTTGCATACTTTTGACGAAAAAAGAAACGTCCCGCGCAATCTTCAACAGGAGGAAGAGGAAGAAGGAGTTGGCGATGATTAATAATTAATTGTCTAAGCATTTTTGTTAGTATTTGAAACTAAGAAAAATTAATTTTATAGAAAAATTTATTAAAAACAAAATAAATAATAACCATCTTAAAATATTTTACATTGCAGCCAAATTAAGCATTTTATTGTTCCCTATTATTACATAGCGTTTATTCCATTAATAAGCACTGAAGGATTCTCAAAGTTTCAAACTTATAGCGGGTTTTAAATCCGCATTGAGTGCAGCAGCGATGGTGGCGTCGCCAGGGTGCGAGACAGTGGAACCAAGGGCGACCACAAGAGACGTCTGCGATGTTGAGTCAGCTGTCATCGACGTAGAACGTCCGAATTCGTCTTTTCTCAATGCGGTGCGCCCGATTTGGACCGATTCCGCCGTCCGAGACCGACTTTTCTCTGACTTAGACGTGCCATGAAGTTCTGCGCGTCCGGCATGAACGTCGCAATCGTCGTGGCGGCCGTTCTGGTGGCCGCTCCTTTGGCCTCTTGGGCTCTGCCCGAACCTGGCAAATGGGAGTTCAAGCCGACGGAGGTAGATATTTCCACGTAAAGCGACGAAATACGAAGTTTATAATCCGCCTTCTTATCTTTTGCGTCAAAAGATAAATGTTTTGAGTTCATAACTAACAAAAGACATTTTTGTCTGCCGCCGCGCCCTCGCAGTTTGACGTAAAGGCAAATTTTTTGCTGAAAATTTCGCATACATTCTTTATGTATCTTTACCGGCCGGCGTTTTGTGATTCTTTTTACGCTTCGAGTCCATGGAATCCTGGCTTAATATGATATCTTGTCAAAATAGTTATTCGTTAGGGAATTTTTAAATCATAAAAAAGTTTTGAATGAATGGATTTTTTTAGATGAACACACATATTTTTTTACATGCATACTTATTTTTTATCGCATCAAATTTTTACAAAAAAAAGGATAACCAAAGTTTTGCTTAACTCTGAATTATGTACAATAAATATCAAACAGACACTTATCTTTAAGCAATTTTAAACTTGAAAATTAATTTTTTCAAATTTTCAAGTGTTTACAATTTATCTTTTTTAAAGAATAACAATAGTGAGAACAAGGAAAAGGTGGAACTAAGAAAGGGTTTGATGATAAAATCTTATCACACTCCCCTTCCTTGTTGGACAATATTATATTAGTATTTTGCACTAAATTTATCAAATTTAAATATTCTAAGAGTTTTTTTTTTTTTTTTTTACAGAAAAACCAAACCTACTTGACATCAAAGAGTTTGATCAATGGATCACAGGTTTTCATTAGCCGTAAGTAGCTTTTAACAGCTTTTAATTTAAAATAATAAATTTTAAACCTCTCAATTGTTTTCAGTCACTTGCGATCCAAAGCAGAATTCTCTGCTTGTGAATGTGTCGTGGATTCTGATAGAAACGCCTTGTCTCCACGATCCAATCCCATTTGGAGAAAATGTTAGTTGGAGTAAAGTCTTATTATGTCAGCATAAAAAAGTAATTACAAATTTCAGAGTACGAAAATTTCGAATCGAGGCTGGAGACGCATCATGCAGCCTAGAGCTGAGTATGAATGCCATGGACTTGTAATTGTGGCAAGTATTTCATTTTCAAATTAAAAAAAATGCAATTTTAAGAGTACCAAATGGGTTTGATTTTAAATTTCTGATATTCTTATACAGGATGAGTTCAACCCAGACAGTGTTCCTGTCAGTGCGAAAACTTCAAACTCAGTGAGCTAATTTAAACACTTTAACTTTTGTAATTTAACTAAATTCAAATTAAATTTCAGTCCTTGCCTGGAATTTCTAAAAATAGTCCATCGGTGAAGTGGGAAACAAAGTTGGACAAGAGCAAAGTAAAGATTTTCTTAACGAAAATACTGTTTTTTGACAAGTTATTAATTAACAGCTGCAGCCGAAAGAGCATCCGATAGTGACTGTGCCTAGGGATGGAATCTACATTCTTTTGGTCACCATCCAGACCAACAGCTATGACAAGTTTGTTCTCCACATCGAGATGCAGAGTAGGCACGGATACCTGTCGGCAGCCGACTGGCCCCTTCTTCCCGTAAGTCCTATCAAAAAAATTTAATTGTCGAGAGTTTAGCTGAGAGTTGAACTGTATCTAGGTCCACCTAAATAATTCATTATTATGAAAGATTTCCTTCAATTTTTGCAAATAATTTCTTTTAAATAGTCCACTCTCATGTGTGTTGCAGTTCTACGGGGCCATGTGCCTGGTCTACGTCATTTATGGAATTGCTTGGCTGATCGTCTCGTTTTGTCAGTGGAGAGATTTACTGCGAATCCAGTTCTGGATTGGCGGAGTCATTCTGCTCGGAATGCTCGAAAAAGCCATGTTTTACGCCGAGTATCAAAGTATCAACTCCTCCGGCACTCCGGTCCAAGGCGCCGTGCTGTTGGCGGAACTTGTTTCCTGCGGAAAAAGAACCCTTGCCAGGATGCTTGTGATCATTGTCAGCTTGGGCTTTGGAATCGTCAAGTATGTGATGAATTGAAAATTACATATTTAAATATCAAATTTCTTTTCTCCTCAGGCCACGTCTCGGACCCATGTTGCACAGAGTGGTTGGAGTTGGCTTGCTCTACTTTGGATTAGCTGCCGTGGAGAGTTATCTCCGGGTGATGGGCCACAAAAACCAGAACAACCAGATTCTGGTTGCCAGTGTTCCTCTGGCCGTGCTTGACTCAGCCATTTGTTGGTGGATCTTCACTAGCCTGGTGCAAACCACCAGGACTTTGAGACTTCGAAGGTGCGGTTTTTCATTGATTTCAAAGCATCAAAATTAAAATTAATTTTTTTTTTTTTCAGAAACGTGGTGAAGCTGACTTTGTACAAGCACTTCACAAACACTCTTATTTTCTCTGTCATCGCTTCCGCGATCTTCATGCTCTACTCCATCAAAGCTAGACTGGTTCTCTGCCAGTCGGTAAGTTGGAATTTATATCTCTTGTCATGTGACTGAAGAATATTTTTGCTTTCAGAATTGGAAAAATATTTGGATTGATGAGGCCTACTGGCACCTGCTTTTCTCTGTTCTCCTTTTAGTTATAATGATTTTGTGGAGGCCCACCAATAACAACCAGAGGTAATATATCTTTATTGTTCTATAAAATACGCAAATCTTCATTTCCGGCACAAATTTATATTGCAGGCATTCATATTGGATTCTTTCACTTTATAAAAAGGTTAACTTAAAAATATATGCATGATTTTTCTATTTAGGTATGCATTTACACCACTGCTGGACAATCCTGAAGACGATGAGGAAGACGAACAAGTTGTTCATGATGCCTATGGAGTTAAAATGAGGGCTTACAAGGACAGAGCCAATTCGCCCAAACCCCGTCCTAGTACCAGTGTGGTATGACTTTGCTAAAGAGAAATTTATTTTAGAATAATAGTGACTTAACAGGAGGATGATTTGAAATGGGTTGAAGAAAACATTCCTTCCTCGATAGCCGACTCGTAAGTTTTGCATTCTTGTAGAGAAAATTTAATTTGAACATTCTTCGTATCCCCAGTACCTTGCCTCTCCTAGACTCTGACGAAGAGATAATGACAACTAAGTTTGAAGTGTCCAAAATGCAGTGAGTGAAGTGACTATTTGAAATTATTTGTCTTTGCTGCAACACCTTTTTTTATTTTAAATCGAAGTACTTAATGTGATTTTATTTGTGAGCTCACCGGTAAGATGTTTGTTGGTTAAGCGCACGAAATAGAGGCGTTTCTGTCCAAATCTCATTGGACTTTTCAAATAAAAGATACTTTGCTTGAATTGTAACAAATTGTTAACAGCCTCAGAACTTGCACGGCCCTTGTCAGTTAATATTTGATTACAATATTCATCTGCCATAATAGATTTTCTTAAAAAAAAAAAATCAAAACTTAGAATCATTGCATTTTAAATACTTTATGTAGCAAAATAAACCAATACTTTTGGCATTGGCTCTACATAGGGTAATTTGTTAGGTGGTCTGCGAAACTATGCCGTTTTTCAGGTTGGCTTGATATGATAACAAATTTAAATAAATACTGTAACAAATAATGGAATCTGCCTCAAAGTATTGATATACCTATAAAAGCTTTTTCATATTCCTTGAGCAAAATGATTTTGTGACTTGAAAATAAAGCAAAAAATCTCCCCCATGGTAATGGATGTTATTTGTCAAACCCTGCCTTCTTAATGGTTCACACGCACCACGAAAGCATTCTTTGAAAAAGTAACGCAACCCCTTTTTTAGCTGAATGGAAACAGCTTGCAAGAAAATACGCACTCGTCGCCAATCTAATGGTGAGCGATTTTTCTTTGTAAAAATGAGTTTATTAGGGTTCTCGGCGGGGTGCGAAAAAATTGGCATGCATTACGCATTTCACAGTGGAGCCGATGACAAGTGAGTACTGGCAAAGAGAGTTGCGCAGTACGATGTGTCCCAGAGGCTTTTCAGCCCTCTCTTGAAAGGAAGCATGCAAGTTTCGGTCGGCGTCTCGGCCCTTGAGCCATATAAGATGCCTGGAATGACATCACGTAGCCGAGAATTTATCAAGGGCGTCGTTGGTGCTTCTCAAAAGAGCTCGCCGTGAATATGTTGCGGTACGAAATTTGCACGCGACGGAACGTGCATTATTATTATTTCCACAAAAGATGGGAAATTCGCAAATATACTAGCTTGGTTTACCAGACTGATAGAGTGATCCAATCAAAAATAGAATCTAGGATGTAAATATATCTTTTTTGACACTTTTATTTGTTGCCTGTATCGATTCAATTGCAACCTGATTTTATATAATTATTGCCATTTTTCTAAAAATAAATTTTAGAAAATTCTAAATTTGAAATGCAAACTAAAATATTTTTATATTATATCAGGCTATGTATTTTTACTTTTTTGTATTGAAAAAAATAAATTTTTTTTTAACTTAGCTTGTTCATGAATCCCTTTTTGTTTAAATTGCATAATTACATCTGTTAATTTTCACCTTTAAAAAATCTACAAAGAATTAATTAATAATATAGCTATTAGATATAAAAAAAAATATCCAAAATCTGCAGAGCTTCATTTGACCGTTCTCTTTGAGCATAGTGGTAGGTGCAAAAGAACAATGCCCGATTATCAGGTGTAGTCAATTTGCCGTGCATCCCAATCGAGCGCGGGTTGCATACCACAGCGAGCGGGAACAATGTGTCGGCGCGTTTCTATTATTGTAGTTGGAGCTCTGTTGTGTTCTTTTCTCATTCAGTCTGCATTTGAACTCTGTGAGCGATTCACGCAGCACAATGGCACGCCTAGTTGGAATTTTTGTGTTGTGCAAATCTGATGCAAAAACGCTGCGGAGCGTGCATTACATATACATATATAGCGATTTGAATATCTTTTCAACCCGCCGCGAGAGCGAAGGCAACGCAAATATTAATATTCCAGACTTGTTGGTCGAATACGTTTTTGCGCTGCTTTTTTCTCATATCTCTGCAAAGCATTTAGTATATGTACATGAAAATGTGATTCGCAGTGTAAAAATAGAGCAGGCGCGTATGCATTCTTAATGTGCCAGAGAGGTCTTGAAATTTCGTATAGTGTTTGTGAGGGCAATTTTTCTCTCGGACGCACCAAGAAGAAACTCTCTTTGGTCGTCGGCCTCGGAATCGACACTTTGGGCCCAAAAAAGTTGGAAGGACTAGAAGTCCTAGAGCAGAGAACATGACTGGCATTCCCAAGTTCCGGGAAACAATATATATTATACGATCGCTCTTTTTCATACATGCACGCACAAAAGAGGGATAATAGCTCCAGGATAGGCATGCGACGCATATTCACCGCCTGGGATAATAAATGGGAAAGGGTGTTACATAAAAAACCAAAACCTGGAAAATCCAATAAATTTGAATTTTCTTTTGAAAGCAGACTGTTAAAAAATATGTAGTATAGCAATCCTTTCAAACTGTTATTGATTTTGATTGATTTTTAACTTTCTTGCATAATTAATTTAATTTTTATTTAATTCAACTTCATAAATAATTTAATTTGTATCTATTTTGTTAAAATTTGCTAATATATATTGCAATTATTGACAGTTATATTTTCAAAGACCATTTATTTTCTTAATTCTTTGTAATAATAATTACAGAAAAAATTATGTACTTTGTGATTAACAAATAAAGTAATATGTTTTTCAATGATTCATTTATTTAAAATAAATATAATATTATATGGATTATGCTTTATGTGCCAATTTCTTCATGAAATTTTTTTTGAATGCACATTTTTATTTCATCTCGTAAATTTATACCGTTTTTAATTTGTTTACTGTGCATTAATTAGTAACTTTCAAAGTTTAAAAAGATTATTATCAAATTTACTTTTCCTAAAATCGCGTGAAAAAATAAATCTAATCAAAAAATGTCGGAAATTTTCTAATCACTACATAAAAAGCAATTGATTCACACGCAACCGAGTAAAATTCTCAGTTTGTGACAAAAAATATGTCCCCTTCCTTCACAGCATTTCGTTGTATGTACAATGTACGGTGGCAAAGGAAAAGGATATAGAAATATATAAATATGTATTGTAATCCCCATTTAGTAGAGCCCGGCCCATTTTAATGAGGACCCTATTTATATGCGTGAGTGCTGAGCATACTTGAGCAAGCAGCCAGCTCGGGGCGGCATATCCCACCCTTAGCGAGCGGAAAAACCGGAAAAACTTTTCCGCACCCTCCAAAAGCAGGGAGGGAGGCGTCGCAAAAACTGAAGCAAAATATGTATAATTTGAAAAGAAAAAAAAGAAGCGAAACGGAGCTTGAAAAGTTGTGAGCGAGAAATGATCGACGGATCGGGGGTTGAAATAAATAATCCGCGGGTCGAGCCCCCTAGCAGATAAAGGGTGGCTGAAGTAGTGGAGTCGTTTCTCGGCGCCCTCTCTCTCCTCTGGGTGACTCGGCCGCATATCGATTTTGATGGCGCCCCGGCGCTCGCACGAAATAGCAGCTTTGAAATGTATCGCGAGTGGCCGCGCACGCGCCCCGCGGCCGTTCGGCGGCGCGGTGGGGCGGCCGAGGGACGGTCGGGGGTGTCTCCGGCACTTTGCCGATATAGTAAAACCCCGAGTGCCGCAGTGGTGGTACGTGTGTCTCGACCCTGCCATTCCAGCCGCCTCGTTCCTGCACCTGAACATGAGAGAACGCAGTGAGTTCCGAGCCCAGCGCTCCACCCTCGTCACCCTGATACCCTTGGCCACCCCCTAAAGGTCCACCGTCCGCCACCACGCGTCTCTCGGCGCCCTTTGACGGGATCGAATCGTTCACTCGCCGGGGCCGCCGTGCTATTCGCATGACTCATTTTATTATTCGGCACCGACCCACACCCCCGGTCTGCGGCGCGGGGGCGCGCTATGAATTTTGGCACCCCTGTATGAAATCGACGGCGGTTTTGGTGAACGCAACCACCGGCGTCTCGCGACTGCCAGGGTGACATTATATATGTTTGAGGGAATTTTAGAATTATCGATCGCAGCCGCCAATCGATGGGATTTTATCACATTCTGTTATTTTAAAGGGGCTGGACCACAGCAGTAAGCAGAGGTATTATTAAAATTGTGGTTTACATTTTTACAATTCAAAGGTTTTCTATTTAGCCAAAGAAAATTTTGAGATTTTATCATGAGAAACATTTTAGTGGATTAATTTATTAACAGCGCTTTTACTTCATAATAAATATTTTCATGCATTATTTCCAAAATAATAATATAAAGTTATTTATGTGAACACGGCCATTTTTTTTTTAATTTAAAAAATTCTTTTAGCATGGGGTGCACTGGTGGTGCACAGTATAAATTAATTTCATAAATTTTTTCGCCTTTATTACAGGTAAATGTGAAAATTGAAAATTGTGGTTCATAAAAAAACACGTAGATGTGATAATGTGATAATATTGATTTTTTTATCATGGATTTTTAGCTTGGTAAGCGGGGACGAAAAGAATAAAATAAGTAAGCTATTATGAATTTTAAAATTAAACATAGCGGAACTATTTTTATCTTTTGATCTCTTTTGATTAAAATTTTGCGACAAATTAAAATTTATAGCAACTTAATGAATTAAATGTTTAAATATAATATTTAAATCCCCAGAACTGTTTAAAATAAAATTTTTGATCATTTTTAATAATTTTTTTATAACATAAATTTTGTCTTCTACCGTGTTTATTGTTTCTGCATGATACAAAAAATGATTTTCTATCATGCAGAAATAATAAAGTTGCTCTTCTTCACTGAGGAAGCCGGATTTTATTTCATCAAAAAATAAACACATCAAGTGCCAAAAGGTACTACAACAACTACAATTACCTTATCTAGAGAAATGTTAATATAGATGGATAGATAGATAGATAGATAGATAGATAGATAAGCTGTCGTGTTCAAGTATAGAACGATCGAAATACATTTAATTCTCGGTTTTTTACACGCTATTTCTGATAAACTTACGTTATATGCAGTGCTGCATTTGATTAAATGATACAAACCCATCCTACATCCATACAAATGTGCTAAGGGTGCTTGACGTCGGCAAGAGACCAACCCAACAGCCTAATCAGCTCAAGGGTGCGATAGGAAAAAAATAAACATCCACACTTTTCACATTCGCAGACATTTTTTACAGTTTAATATAGTTATATTATTTTATTAACTTTCGAATTGTTCATGTAAACTTAATGAAATTTAAGTTTTTTTTGTAGTTAATAAAAAAATTGACCAAGATATTAAAAAGTAGACAAAACAAAAAGATCGGCATAAACCATAAATAATTCGATCAATCGCTTTTTCAAACAAAACACACAGCAAATGGTGTGTGTGTGTAATAAACTAGTCAAAATAGCGCAACAATGTATCAGAAGTTAGTGCCTGAACTCGGAACTGCAAGTACGGGGATTTGCAAAGTTCTAAATGAATGCAGCGTGTGCAACACAAGTTTCCTGCTGCTTCCCCACAACGCCCCACTTAGCTCAGGCGTGCACCATCGGGTACTTTACATTCACATTCTGTATATACGCGAGGACACAAAAACTCAGATGCATTTTGTACTTTGCAGTGAACCGCTCGCTGATAGCCACTGAAGCAGACCTAATTTACGAGCTAACTTTTCCTGTATATTTTAATTTAAAGCCTCGGCTCGCCGTCGACGAGGGTTTGATTTGCATTCGGGCGCAAACTTCATTAAGGCATGCAATGCACTAATTCATTTTTACGATGCTCACGGATTTAATGCCAGTCGCGGTAGAAGAGCAGTATGCTTTTTTTTTAATTTTAGTTGTTTATTTTTGCTCATCCTGTGGAGAGAGATAGAGAACGCAGAGGCGAACAACCTCTTTCTTTCTTTCTCTCTCGCCGTGCAAACACATTTCCACCCTGCCTTTTCATTACTCACCGCGCAGGTATAAAACTTTTTAATATTCCAACTGATGCCGAGCGCGCGCGACCAGGCGTCAGCAGAACGCAAAAGTGCCTTGCTGTCATTTGCAATTTGCTCCACGTTCCACGATTTGCAGCTGATAAACCCGACAGTCCTAACAAACTTTCAAAAGAACTGAGAAAAAAAGGTAACTGTGTGGAGTGTGGAGCCCGATTCAATCCTTTTTAGTTTTGGATTCTATTGAAATTGGCTAATTTTCGGCTTCAGTACAGAGAAGATTTTTAGCTATTGAAACATGTTCCACGTTTCCCAAAAACATTTCAGTTTTTTAATTTTGCAGAGTAATGAGTTGATTATTAACTAGTAAAGGTCAACCTAATTAATTACAAATATATTTTCGTGCATTTTTATACTATTTTTTCAAATTAAAAATGTATGAAACTCGCAACAATCAACAAAAATAAGGCCAAATCATTGAATTCTAGCAAAAAAAAAAAAAAAAAAAAAAAAATATATATATATATATATATATATATATATATATATATATATATATATATATATATATATATATATATACTTTTCTCACTCACAATCAGATCAACATTAGTAACAAAAGATATAATTCATGTCCTGCGGCTGCATTTCTTTATACAAGAATTTTGACCAAACTCTATTTTAAATATAAATTGTTTAAATGAGTTTGTAATCATTATATAACTATTTATTATAATTATTTAATATAAATGGTCGTATTATTTTATCTGAACTGAGACACAACTATATTAAAAAAAAAGCACTGAAAGATAGAGTTACCAAATTTTTTTGTTTTATCAAATGCAAGTCATGATTACACTGAAAATCGATTGGGAAAATTAATTCCCTCTCACTTAAATCCCTCTATGAAGAATGTTGACTCTACTAATTAATTTTTTAAAGTTAATAAAAAAGAATAGAACAGAAGAATAGAAGAATAAGTGCGCCGTCATCCTTTATGAATGATTTATTTTTGATAATTAATCCAAATGCGTTTTTCTCTTTCATAGAAAGAACCAAAGTGAACCAATTTCATGTAGTGAGTTAGCAGCGCACTTATACTTTTTAATCCAACTTCATTTAATTAAGCATTAAACTTTTTTTATAATGGAGCGCGGCAGAGCAAGACCTCTTTAAAAATAACTACTCATTAAGGCAGGCTTAGTCCCGCGCGTTCGGGATTGCACCCCCGAGGGTCTCGTCTGCCGGCGGCGGCACAGCAGCTCTGGCAGGGATTTGGGCCGCGCCGCCCTGGAGACACGTGCTGACTTATGGCCCGCCGGAAAAGTCTCTTTGTCAAAGTCCGCGCCCGATTTTGAGCTTTTCAACCGCGCGCGCGGGACAAACAAGGCAACGACGCTGACAAATCACAACTGGGGGCGTACATTGATTTTATTTTGGGACCACGAAAAAGCGTCAGATTAAGTAATCCAATGGCGGCAGCGCTATATACATTGTTGAAAGTAATGAAAGGCAGGAATATCGGTTAGAAGCATATTACATTTTTTTTAAATTGTTTTTATATATTTTAAAGTTAGAGGAAATTTTTATTAACTGTTTGAATTAGCTTGATAATATGGATTTTAAAATTTTAATTAGTTTAATCTCACCTCTAGGTATATTTTCCATGTAAATTTTCTTTGAATTAACAATTAGTAACAATGAACAAAAATTATTAATAATATTGCATTGTACTATTATTTTATTATTAAATAAATTTAAAATTTATTATGTTTAACTGGAAAATTTATAATTAATAGTTCATAATTTTTAGCAATATTTAGCATACAAATTATTTATTCGTGAATGTCAGTCTTCAATTGGTTTAGAGTTGGGAGAGGTATTTTCGTCATTGCTATCATTTTCCTCTTAATAATATTTATTTTAGTAAATAAATTGCCTTGAAACTGAACTTTGCGATAAACGCGGCAGCAGGATGCGACGTCCACGCGATAAACGCGGTTAAAGTGAGCGCAGCAAAAATAAATCTCGGTGTCTGGCGGTGCTGCTTCGGCACGGCAGGGACCGGACGCTATACAGGAGATCAAAGGATAAAGAGAAAAACGCCAAAGCCCAACCAATAACATTCAATTAAAAGCCGCTAAAGTGCAGGCCGGAAAATGGCAAACGGCGAATCTTCGCAGGAGCGGCAGATATGTCGGGCCGGCGCAATAAATCTCGGCTTATTAAGTGGCGGAACAGCGAGATAAGAGCCAACTACTTACACCGGCCCGCTATCTATTCTATCCGGGCTCACACTAGAGCGAGAGAAAAAGCCGAGCCTCAATTACCGGCCCGTGTTGCATCAACAACTGGCTGGCTATTGTTTTTGAGCAGCCACCGTTCTGGTCCATTTAACCGATGCATTTATTCGCCCGCCGCTATTTAATGGAACGTGCGAGGCGCAAGATTAACGGCCGAGACGCTCCAACTTGGTAATGCATTATTTTCGCAGCTCAGAGTCGCTGCCCTAGCTCAGTCTGCCGACAACCGAGCAAAGCAATTATGTGTGTCGTTTATTACCCAATAAAATTACGCCCTTAGGATTTTGTTTTGGCATGGCAGGGATGCATCCCGACACGAGCGGTATTGTTGTTGAATTTTCACATGGGCAAATGGCGAGCTGACTGAGATTGACAGGCTGTCGCTAGATTCATTACGAAAACCATAAGAACACATTTTAAAGTAAAAAATTTTATTTAATCACTCATGTCACATAATATTAGAAATTATTTACGAAATATTTATCAATAATTTTTTCGGCTTTTTTTTCAGGGAAGTGGAAAAACTTGTCATCAAAATAAAAGTTATTTTATTAGAAGTCTTATTAAATATATAATTTATAACTTACAATCTTTCAGTGCATATAAGAAGCGGACTGGATTTTTCCTAAATTTGAACAAGTGTCAATAATCTTTTAAGACTTTTCAACAGGACTACACTGCAATTTAGATACTGTACTTGTGCTTGTGTTTTAAATTAATGTTTTACAAAATCTAAAACAATAAACTGGCATTCACTGTCTTACAGAATTTATCAAAAAATAAACGCAATGTTTTATCTGGTTAAATCTATATTTTAATTTATTAATATTAAACATTTAAATTACTTTATAAATTCTCATAAAATATAATTATACAAAAATACATGGTTTTTACGTTACGTTCCTGAAACTGTGCGAGAAAAACACTTATTAATCATGAAATCAGCAAATAAAACTAAAAATAGTCGGTGAAATTTATAAAAGTTTATGAATATGTAATACCTTTAAAATAAAAAAATTAATAATTGATACAGGAGTAGAGATGATTTTTAAATCAATACCAATTAAAACCAAGGACATTTAAATTTGCACAAACATTGAGCAAGTTAAAAATGTTTGATTGTTAGGTTTTTATTTTTGTCTCCTGTTTGTTTCAATTTTCCCTTTGGTTCGCTTTATGACTCCGAGATGGAATTTCATGCACCTCAATAAACTTGATGTGTGCGGCTTGCAAGGCTCGAAATTGAAATAAGGCGCGGCTGCATGTCAAACAGAGACGGCGTTCCATCATCATAAATGAACAATGTAACAAATTGTGGCTGCGTGGCAGCTCGTTCATTCATAATCGTGCGCTCTCTGTGCTCTCCTCAAAGTTTTCTTCTCGCAGAAACAGTGGCAGCAGCCGACTCAAAATGCAATAAAATGCCGCTTCTCATCTCTGGGCGAAAATTGAGGCGGAAAGAGAGGAGCGCCGGGAATAAATTCGTTTCGCAGCTTTATTGCTACCAAGAATTTAATTGTTCGAAACAAAAGCTGGCGGTGGAGGGAGCGAAAGCGGCACAGAAACGAGCGAGAGAAATTTACAATCGTCATAAATCGCGATAGAACGATATAATTTCGCTAATCTGCGCAGGTTTACCGGTTGCTCGTTATTTTTTTTTACCATTCCAATTTTTATTGCAGAGAGAATCCAGCTTTAGTTGTATCATTTGAAATGGAAAAAACAGAACGAATGGACTTTTAAATTATAACGATGGAATATTGGGAAAGTGAGATTGTATATAAATGATTTTTTTTTTATAATAATTACAATTTTTGTGAAATTGGAATTTGGATATTTTGAATCCTGGATACAAAAATATTCTTTTAAAATCAATGTGATTAAAATCAATACTGATTAGATTCTTTGAATCGTTCAACATCAAATGAATAATAAAAAGAGAGACGTAATAATTGAAAGGTACAAAAGTCTTTTATCTAGTCGAGTTTTGCCAAGCTCGCTCAGCTAAACATCCAGACAGTTCTCGCCTTGTTCTTTTTTGCTTCCACCCAGCGGAAACTACGCTATCCCGATGAAAATCAGCGGAAAGAGCGCGCCGTTGGGAACGAGTGCGCCGAGCAAGCAGCCCCCTCGCCTTGCTTTGCGCCGCAGAGCGAGCAGAAAAGAAATCATTAATTATGCGTGATAGAATGAGTCTGTAATCAAGGGAGCTCCTCCAGTGCTGCGAATGATTAGTGCACCCGCCGAGCTGTTGGAAGAGCTCGAGGGGAAACAAAAGTTAAATAATTATTTGCTGGTGGTGTCGGGGATGCTTGAAACAAACAATTAAGTGCATCCGAGACTGTTGAAATGACGACGAGTTTAATTGATTCAGCGGGGAGATTGGAACTCTTTTTTCGTTAGGGTGTGAAATTTGAGATCGTTAATCGTTAATATGCAGAGCCGCATTTATCAAATTTGAAATCCTAACAAGAACATTTAATAATATGCGTTGAGGTGTTGAGTAGAGAATTAAAATTCAAAACATCAAATTGTTGGTGTTATAATTTTGAATCGTTGATTCAAAATTGGATTTTCCTCGACGGGTTTTTTTTAACCATTTATTGTTTTGAAAAAAAAAATTCGGTCTATAAATCAGCCTATAAAGCTCATGAATTTTGGCTGCAAATTCAAACACCGTAAATCGCCCCTCAAATTCGAGTTTTTTTTTCTAGAAAATTAAATTATTAAAATTAAATTGATGATTAATGTATTTTTTAACTCGTTTATATGTATTTATCTAATTGATTTTTATTGTAAAATTCTGTCCACATGTAAAAAGGTCAAGGCCAAAGTAAATTAACAACAAATTCCTCGAAGAACATTTTTTCCAATATCGTCCTCTCGTCTTTCTGCCTTGGCGAGAGCCTCAAAGTATCAGGGGGTATGTTTGGATAGAGGCGGTGCGTGCTTTTGACAGTTGCCAACTCTTCCCTAGGTTGGATACAAAGTGCCGTACGTACGCACAAACAACTGGAGCACTCCTCTTAATGATGCTAATAATTAGTCGTGAGTAAGGAAAAGGTCAACGCGCGCAAAGAAAAGTCATTGTGTGCTGCATGAAACAAAGTCCCCCACACCCCCTCCACTCAGTTAGGGGATGGATGAGCCAGCAGGTCCTTTTCTCTCTTTGGCTCTGACTGAAATTCGCTGCCTTCGCCCTCTGCCTTTTGGCCGCATTCCGTTTGATCCGGGCTCTCTACGCAATATTAAAATGGCCGAGAAAGGGAGAGAGGATTTTTCGCTTTTACTCGCCAGGCAATTAAAATATTTATTAGCTACCTGCGAAATTTAAGTGATGCTCCCATCCCTCGTGGGCAGAGCCACCGCGTTCCAATCTTGTGCGCTCCAATGGGAGTGGAAAAACGATTTTGTTAATTTGAATATGCATGAGGTCAAAAGGAGGTCAGAAGTCGGTGCCGTTTCATTGTGTTTTAAAATTCACGAGAGAAAAGGAAAAGACAGGGAAATTAAAAGAAATGCTGGTAGCTATTATCATTCTTTCTCGTGTTGAATAGTTAATGATTTTATTTCACCCCCAGGAAGCATTTTGCTGATTTTCTTGCTGGGAGGCTTCTGATGTTCCTTTCTCTCCATTAGAAAAGAGAGGAAAAACAAAAACCATTAATCCATAACATACGATCATTAAGGCAAAAGAGTTCATAGATTATTTTCACTTTACTTTTTTTTATGAATTTTTTTCCATTTGAAAGCAAAAAACGAAAACTGGTTTAAAATTAATTGTTATCACTTGTTTAGAAAAGAAATAAAAAATGAATTAAATTGAATTAAAATATTCATTACTGAGAACCTCAAGATACTAATTAAAAGCAGTTTTTCCCATTAAGTCAAACTTAGTGACAAACAATTTTTTGTATCATATATAGTGCTATGTTGTTTTGCAGTGTTTAAATTTAAATGTGTATTTTATTATCTAAACAAACTCATTTAAAAAATTTAAACAGAACAATTTTTATTTAAATATTGTAAAAAATATTTTCTTATGAACTATCTTATAATTATATATTATTTAAAATTCCAGGCTAATGATATTTTGAAAGCAAAACGGGATACATTTTTGATGATAATTTGATAACCCTTTCAAGTATCAAGGGTCACATTCCAAGATTGCATTTCCCCCATTTTCCGTGTAATTTCGTTTCCATCTGCAAACACCCCACGTCCGCGGCAAAGCTGGTCGTCAGGTCGAATTGCCCTTTCGCGTCTCAGCTCGGCAGAACATAATTTGCGGCCGCCCCGCTCCATAATACCGAATGTTGGCGGGCTAATTTTGGGAGAAAGTGGTGTGAGGGCTGCTGGCTGGGCCGGCGGGCGTCTCTAAATAATTCGCTCGTCTGGCGGTTTCCGAGTGCGAATGCGAGAGGGTGTTTGTGTTTTTATCTCTCAATTGCCGCCGCCGCACGCTCGCTCCTTCAGCCATTAGCTATTCAAATCCCCTGCAAATTATACCGGGAATCGTGCCGCCGAGCAGATATGACATGCGGGTTGCATACGCTGCGCCTCGCAAATGTGGTTCCTGCCTCGTCGCGCTCGCACAACCAACGCTTTGCAGCGTTTTCAGGGCCCGCCCGGTTTCCTTTCTGATTACTCGTGTGATTTGCGGTCCGTTTTTTTATTTCCACAACGCGCGTTTTCTCTTCTGATGCTCTTATTGTTTGAAATGTCTGACAAAAAGAGAATTTTTTAGATAGATATATGTGTTCAGTTTGGTGAAAAGCGTACGCGGAAAAGAACATTCATGAAGAAGAGAATTCTTTAAATTACTTCGCGTATGTATGGGTTTTTAAAGTATCTAAGTAAAAAAACTCTGTGTCTGTTTGGTTTCTATTTGTAATACTATTTAAAAGAATCATTTATTTTTAAGAGATCACAGACAAAGTGATATTTGTATAATAAAATTGACCAAAACAATATTGAAGAAATATTTTAATTCATTTTAACACACTTTCTTTTATAAGATTTTTTTTCTTCCAAAATCAACCAAATCGATCATTTAAATATTTTGAGCTATCAAATCCAATTTTAATTTTATTCTTGGTAATTAAATTGTACGAACCTTGAAATTATTCCGATGATTTTAATTTTTTTATTTGGATTTTAATAACTTTATGCATGAAGACAAAACGTTGAAGATTAAAAGCAGGATGAACATTTTGTTGGGCTACATCGACCTCGTGGCGTTTTCCCACTTTATCCCAAAACTTTCTCACTGTGTTTAACTTTTCAGCTCTAACAGAGACTTTGCCTTTGTGTCAACAGGGTGGCGCGGCGACGACCAGGGTTGCAGCTAGGGGACCATGTGGGTAGGGGTCCCCGAGGGGGGCGGGTCAGGTCGGGCAGGGGGGTGGCTGTTGCTGCTTCTGCTGCTGCTGCTGCTCGCCTCCAGGGCCGACTCGGAGAAGAACAAATTCTGTGAGTACAAAATTTTCCAGCTAATGCGTTTCCTTACAAGCTTCATTTTCCTTTTATATCGTACAATATTATACTCTCCTAAAAGTTTCGCGCTAAAATAAAAGTTGGATCCATTAACATAAAAGCGGCTCCGCCGGGCGATGATTGCCGCTCATTATTAATGCACGTGCAAAAGGATTCTTGGCGTGCATCGATCTGCGGAGGAAAAACGCGACCGCCGGCGAATTACTTTTTCGTGTTTTGTGCGGAATTTCGTGGGCACAGAAGGGAAGGGTCCGTATGCAAACGAGCGGCCCTGCCAAATTGGCCGGCCGACGGAATCGTCAAATTGCACACCGGCGGTTTTCCGACCTGTTTGTGCTCGGTGACGGATTTAAACGGCGAATAACGCCGTTTATTTGCATGAGATTTGAATTTTGCGCCGGCAGCGGGCGCGTAATAAGGACGGTTGGGAAGCTGAAACGGAGACGACAAACGTCAACAACGGAATCGCAAATTAGTTTGTCGAGAGAGATAAGCCGTAAATGTGAAAACTCTAAATTCTAGCTTCTGTCTGCAAAAAGTCTACATTTTCTTTTTTTAAATTCAATAGCAAAGTGCCATTATTATTTAGACTCTATAATTTTAATCATGCAAGTGCAAGTTTTTTAGCAGAAGAATGAGTATTTTTCAACATTATTCAAATAAGGGAATTATTAATGATTTACATAGATTTTATTTACTTAAAAAAAAATTTAATTGACACACATAGAACTAAATTCTGTTGTTAGAGGGACAGTTTTGGGGCTATTATTAATTTTTGTTTTGAGGTAGGCCAGAAGTCATATAGGTTTTAGATTCCACACGACTTCTGGACTTACCTCCAGTTAAGAGTAACGAGTAGAGTTTATATATGGAAATCCAACATAATTTGCGTGATTCCATTAGGGGAATGTAAAACTTTTTATTCAATAAAATTAAAACATAAATTAAGTATATTTACTTAAAAAACTAAAAATAGTTATGCATATTAAATAAAAATTTTAATTTTTAATAATGTCAGTTACAAAGTCTAAATTGTTAATTATATCTAAATAAAGTAAAAGTATAATTTTTAGTTTTTATATATGGTAATAATTGTGCCCCAGGAAAGTATTAAATTCAAAGAGAATTGCTACCAAATGGAGAATAAATCCCGACAAGTGATATAAATATCAGCAAGGGCGAACAGCGGGCGTTTCGAAGCAGACGCAAATCTCCCGCTGAGGCGAAAAGAGCGCGCGCCTTTATATATCTGCTGTCAAAAATGCAAATCGACATCTTGTCTGGCTCTTTCATTCGGCTCTGGAATGACATTATTATTATTTGAATATTCCCCTCGTTCTCCTTTTCACAGGGTTATTTTTTATCATTATCATCTGCGTGCGCACAAAAAGCGGAAAAAAAACTCGTTGCTTGTGAAGAGCCTTCACGTCGTCATGACTGACTCTCGCACTCATTATTATTGATGAAGTGTCGTCAAAGTTGGCCGCAAGTCACTTAAATTGGAGCCGACTGAAAGTTTCAAGGGGCGCCGCCGTCGGTGCACCAAACTAAATCATCAGGCTAATGCGAGCGAGGAACGCGCGAGAATGTGGATTGCGCGCAAGCTCCCGTTTTCTCTTTATCTCTCGGCGGATCGAAAGCCTTTGTCTGCGAACCAGGAGAGAGAGAGAGGCCGACCCCAAGCAAATATTAATTTTGGCCCCCGACACACGGCGAAATGTGCGGGATTAATTTCGAGACAAATTAGAGTGGCGCTTCGTTGTCTCGCGTTATTGTTTTAAGCGGTTTACAAATGTTTCTTCTGATTTGAAAAACTCTTGTCGAGGAAATATTTTACATGCTGTTTCCTGCTGTAATTTTGTTTTTAGCAGGGTTAATTAATAAATAGATTTAAAACTTCATTATCTAAATTTTTTATTGTTTTATTTTAATTTTTATTAAAAAGTTTCAATGCAAATCTTGAATGAATAATAAAGTAAAAAAATAAATGTATTATGTATTAATTAAAATCAGTTTTATATTCTTAAGGCTGATACAATGAAAAACAAACGGATCTATTGAATAGAATATTTCAATAATTAATTTATTTCATTCATAATTTGATTACAATAAGCTTTCAAACGCTTTAATTTATGCTATGCTTATGGTATCTACATTGAGAAAAATGATTAATAAACCCTTTCCCATAAGATCAATGTAAATATAGTTTCATGCCAACCTATTGGTTTTATTTTACCTTTTTCATTGGTGTTATGCAATTTGTACTTACTTTACTAGACCAATTTGAGAAAACAATTTTTTTAAATGAACTCAATTCTGTTGCTTAAGTTCCTGGGAATTGATATCTACAAATCAATACTAATGTTGAGAAAATTATAATCAAAATTAATCAGACTGTTTTTTTTAAGCAGAATCCTTTCTTTAAACCATATCAAAGAATAATTTATTTATACGTTTTGCCAAAAATTATTACGGCAGGCTACATCTGATCGTGAAATTTCATTCGCTCGTGCTTTCCTTCCTTCATTTTTTTTTCATTCTTTCATTTTTCTTCTCAGAAAAACTTTTCATCAGTAAAGCGCAAGCAAGCACGTCGTGTGCGTTTTATTAGAAACCGACCGAGTTGCTCGAACAGAGAGGTAGATGGATGGGAACCGAAAAGCCCTCCAGCGGCAAATCCCGTCTTTGTGCGAGAGCGCAGTAAAAATGGGTGCTCCACATGCGGTAGTAGAGAGTCTTTAAGATTTCGCACACACACAAGCTTATGTATACATACATAAAACTTGTTACTTGCGCGACTGTGTACCACTTACTCGTTGTTCCACACGTGCACGTGCAATATTAACAGCGAGACAAACTTTTCCCCTGCTGGGCGTATATTTGTCTGGTCAAAAGTGGAGCTTGATTAATGCACAGTTTGCTCAAAGTTTTCTCGGCGGTAAAGAGATTTACGCGCCCTACTCGCGGAGAATAGATTAAAAGCTCAGCCCCGTGTTAATTATGTGAGAAAAAGCTGTTGGTGAACGTGACCGAATAAACTCGACTTTTGATGACTTGTTGGCGCGCACGAGACTTTTCTTTAACCAGGGACAAGAGGGGAGACTAGGAATGAATATTCATGTCATGAGAGAGAGAGAAGCCGGGTTTAGCTTGTTAAAAATAAGTGAATAATTTATTTCGGCTTCTGAAATGTTTATTTGCTCCCATGGGGACGGTTATCAAAGGTCAACAGACCGGTTAAAAGAAACCCGCTTTTTTCTCAAACTTTGTATTTGCATTTGAATTCAAATATTTATAAAAAAAAATGGTGATTTTCGGAAGAGAATAATTAATTTAGTTGTATAATAAACCTTAAAAGGATTTAACTTTCTCAAAATGGAATATAAATTCCCTGAAAATTGTACAAACCGCTCTCAAATTTACCAGAGGAAAAGCTACTCAATATTAAAAATATTTCACTTTAAAAAATGGAATAAAGGATGGATGGAAAAGTTGAAAAATAAAAGTTATCTTCAAACATAACTTTTTGTTAAATTCCCTCACTGTTTAAAATAGTTTTACGTTCATGATCGAAACAGATGACAAGTATTTATATGCTAATTTAAAAATGAAAAATGTTCGAATCACAACATTCACCCCTTATTGCATTTCAGCACGTCATCTACGAGATTTATATCAGGAGGGGCGAAATGAATCGCACACAATACATTTCTAGCCTACTTTGAATGCAATTATTCTTCTTTGGAGGACCCACAGCTGCTTCTTCTGCTGTGTAAGAAACCCATTCGGAAGTTTGTAACGAAATGACCCATTTCTGTCAGCTGGCAACATCTATAGATTTTCCAACACAAACACGGTAAAGAGTGCAAACCGAGTCAAAAATCAATCACGAGTGCTCATTAGGATGCACCGTGCGAGATGAAGAGCGCCGCGAGGTGCGACAACCAGCTGCACCGAGAAAAGCACAAAAGGCACTTTTCCGGCCGGCAGCTGTGCCTGGGGTTCATTCGCCTGCCCGTCTGTGCACCGAGCGCGTTTCCATGCTCCGTGCACCACCACCGAGTGAGTGAGTAGTGACCCATTTTTGCTGCCACATGCCCATTTACTATAGTAAAGTGCACGTGCACGCCGGGGAGAATCAATCTCGGTGGAAACTCTTCCTCTACCGAGACGGACTCGCAAACCCCAGATTTATTATTACGTCCGATGAATTAAACGAGAGAGATGCCGACGGATCCTTTTGTGCGCGCTCCGGTGCAGGTATGCACTTTGCATCTCTCTAGATGAATAGTTGTGTGTGGGTGTTTGGTATATGAAAAGTTGGCTCTGTGCAAATAAGATTTTTTATTGCGATGCGCGCCGCTCTCTATAAAATAAAATCGATCCACACTCGACAGCGTTTTTGCTCCGGCGGGCAGGTTAGCAGGAAATTAAAAGAAGGCGGTGATGAATGGACGCTTTGAGAGCTAAAACCAGCCCCGCATGTTTTTTTTTCATGCAATGTTTCATAGATTGAGTGTGCGGGAAAAAAAGGATTCTCTCTCTCTCAAATATTGTTTTTATCGCATTCAGGAATATCCAAGCTTTTTTCATGATTTATTTATTGCAAAAAACAAACAAAACCGGTGTCAGCAAAAAAGTATAAATACAGAGGCCTTTCTTTGCAGATAGATTTATTAAATGTATACAATTCATGTGAACTAATATAACACTGTCATTTTAAACGTTTAAAAGGCTGTTTGCATTGAGCGAAATTGTGTCCTGCAAGTTTTCAAGTTTTATATTTTTCTGCAGCTTGATCAACATAAACTGATTGTGCAATCTCATTGCACTGGTTGTACTTAATTGAAAATATGATAATTTTATTTTTATTTTTTTGCAACTTAACTAAAATAAAGAAAGAAAAAAAAACAGAGAAATTTGCTCAATTTACTTTTACATAATAATCCAAATATAGATATTTTCCATTAGATTCT